TTCAGCAACTGTGGTGGTCTGAATTGCTTTGATAGTTGTGCGGGTGGTTGACTCGCTCGTATGACTTGCTAAACAGAATAATACAATTTCATCTACCTATTCATAATTTCCAACAGGAGCATTAAAATAATAAAAAAATTGGTGTGCTTCGCTTCTAATCCTGCACTGCCGAACAAAAAATCCACGAATCAGAAGAACGATGGTGACCTCTGGAATTGTGTGATTATTTTTTAATTTAAAAATATATTAAAATAATATTTATTTTTTGTTTTTTAAAATTTATTTTTATAGCAACACAATACATTTAAAATTATAAAAAAAACTATTATTTTTTTAAAACAATATCAGTAATGTCCTGGTAAAGGGTTCTCGCAAAAGATTATGTACAACCCCTGGAATCCAATGCTCTGCTTGCCATTACATGTTGTTACATGGTCGGATCTGGGGCCCCTCTTCCCTCACTCTCTCGCACGCGCACACTTTTCAAAACCCTTTTTATCCTTTCCACGGCAAAACAAATCGAAGAAACACAACACTCTCTCTCAATCTTCTTCGCTTCCCGTGTTAGTTTCTTTCTCTCAATCCCCTCTTCCATTAAATTTCCTGTATTTATCATTTATCTATGTTGCATAATTGTTGTTTTGTTATTATTATAAAACTGTTATTTAATCAAATCCCAGATCTGTCATTATCATTTAAGACATAAACTTGTTTATCTTAATCACAAAAAAAATTGTCTTTTTTTTATATTAATTTTTAGTTGGTTTTTATGTGTTTGCAGTTAAAGGGTTGCTCCTTCTCTTTTTTCTTTTTTGTTTTTCTTGCCGCTAATAATAATGGATGGTCAAAGGAATGACCATGGCAAAAGATCACAGCATTCACAATCTGATTATGGTGGGGGTAAAAGAAGAAACCCTGGAGACGACCCTTCTGACCAGCATACTGTTACCAATGAAGATACAGTCTATCGTTATTTATGTCCTTTAAGAAAGATTGGTAGTATTATTGGTAAAGGTGGAGAGATTGCTAAGCAATTAAGGGCGGATAGTAAGTCAAATATTAGGATCAGTGAGGCAATGCCGGGTTATGATGAGCGAGTTGTTACTATTTTTAGTTCCAGTGACGAAACTAATCTTTTTGAAGATACTGGTGAGTATGTTTGTCCTGCCCAAGATGCGCTTTTTATGGTTCACGATAGGGTTATTGCCGAGGACTTGAATAATGCTGCTGCTGCTGCTGAGGAGGAGGAGGAGGAGGATAGGTTTGGGGAGGTGCAGCAAGTTACTGTGAGAATGCTTGTGCCCACGGATCAAATTGGTTGTGTTATAGGGAAGGGTGGACAAGTTATTCAGAATATAAGGAGTGAGACTCGTGCGCAGATTCGGATTACCAAGGATGAGCATTTACCTCCTTTGGCTCTGAGTACTGATGAGCTTCTCCTGGTAAGGGTTTTCTTAAGCTATTGTAGTTTCTGCTATTGTATCATACTGGAATTTATATTCTTGTCGAGCTTTGTTTAAAACAAGAACGCTACAAAATATTGAACCTGTGTGCTTGCAATGTTGATAGTGAAGCTGTCTGCATTTAATTTGTATTAGAAACATGTTTTCTTTTTGTGATCTTTTCACAATCCAGTGTTGTGTCGACCAATGATAAGAGTTGAATAATTGGCTGCGTACTTTCCTTTTCATGTTTTAAAAAGCAACACAATTACATAAATCCTGAACCAAAATTCTAGGGTTTTTGGTGGTGAATTAGTTAGTTCAGCTCAATCATGCTTTTCAAGATGAATTGCTTTTTCAGAAGTGGCTATTGGATAGTGATATATTTACCGACAGCAGTGAACTTTTGGCACAATACAGATACATGGAGAACCTTCTGTTGTGAGAAAGGCACTTTACCAAGTGGCAACACGGCTTCATGAGAATCCATCTCGGTCACAGCACTTGCTATTGTCTTCTTCAGCCAACACATATCAATCTGGTGGCATGTTTGTCACTGCAAATGCTGGAGCCCCTCTTTTGGGTCTATATGGCAATTATAAAGGTAGTTGGTCATCATCCTTTTACCCGGACCAGAGAGATGAAGCTTCTGCAAAAGATTTTTCTCTTCGTTTAGTTTGTCCCATTGCAAACATCGGAAGTGTGATTGGGAAAGGTGGTGGAATCATCAAACAAATTCGACAGGAATCCAGGGCATCTATTAAAGTTGATAGCTCAGGGGCTGAAGGAAATGACTGCATAGTATTTATATCAGCAAAGGAGGTCAGCATTAACCAGCTCTCTGTGGTTTTCATTGCGAAGTAATCTTGATGGGATTCCACACTGTTGATGATCTAATCATTTACCTGCAGTTCTTTGAAGATCAATCTCCAACCATGAATGCAGCACTGCGCTTGCAACCACGATGCAGTGAAAAAACTGAAAAGGAATCAGGTGATTCTGTAATCACCACCCGCCTGCTTGTGGGAAGATCACAAATTGGATGTCTTATGGGGAAAGGTGGGGCAATTATTTCAGAAATGAGGAATCTAACAAGGGCAAACATCCGGATTATTTCCGATGACAATCTTCCTAAGGTTGCTGGTGAAGATGATGAGATGGTGCAGGTGAATGTTTATAATGTTTAGTGTAAGAAATTGTTTTGAACCTGCTAGGTGTGTGTGCATGTTTTGCTTAATTTTTCTTTTTTCTTTTCAAGTGCATAATTGGTCCAACCTTGTAATGCCATGGGGATTATGTTTTTCGATGCTGACCAGATCACTGGAAGCCTTGAAGTTGCTAGTAATGCTCTTTTGCAAGTGATTTTAAGGTTGAAAGCCAATATATTTGGAAGAGACGGAGCACTAACTACATTTCCACCGGCTCTTCCGTTCATTCCTGTGTCACTAGATACATCAGATGGTCCAAAATATGGGAGCCGAGACAGACAATCACGTGGGCGCGGATACTCTTCTTCATCTAGTGGATATGGTTCTCATGACGTGAACCCAAGTGATAATTATGGAAGTAATGGAGGTCCACTGGTATGCTTATCTTTGCATAGTGTGTGTGTGGAGGGTACTTATTTTTGGATATTAATGGATTGGTAACCATGCCTAAGTTGTTATTGCCTCTTAGAAGTTTTATGTGATTGTCCATTCAGATTGGCGGTGAAGGCAGTTATGGAGCATATGGTGGCTTCTCATCTGGTCGTTCTAGTGGTGCTGGGTAGGGTTTCTTTCGTTTGAAACTGTCACTCAAGTTTTTAGTTCAATTCTGGTGCAATTTATTTCTGTTTTATTATTCTATTTTTTTTAAATGAAATGTATTTGGAGATCTTCATCTGTTGTCAATTTTGATAATCTCTTCCATGCCTGATTTTTAACTTCTATTACCAGGTTATCTGGTCAGAACCCTGTTTCCCAAAGAAAAAAACATGGGTATTAGTCCTGTATTCCATTCTAGGGCCAACAGGTAGATAATTTCTCCATCTTCTACTTGCTTATCCTTATGATTCAATAAGCATGCTGGTTTCTGTTTTCTTTGCGATTGATGAGGACATTACTATACATTGATGTCTAACCCGGCCATCCTAGTTTTAGAATTCTAATACACCTTTTTGCCTCTGTTGCCTTCCCTGTACAATCTAAACAGCAGTGATCTACAAATCCTGATGCTGCCCTTTGCCCTTTGACGAAGCCTTCAGCCTAAGTCATAAAAGTTCAGATGAACAGGCTTTGACAAAACTATGCTTCACTTTGGCCCACCTTCAGATGCTTTATTTTGGATATCTGTTGACGTTATTCACCATTCAATCATTTGTGAACCTTGACACCAGTAACTAGCAAAGCTTATATATCTTGCTCCAGATGTTACATGCCATCAGCATGCTTATCTGCAATGATGATATGATGTATTTCTATGTAAAAGATTTGTGATTGGCACTCGCTTATTTGTGTCATTAATATAACGAGGGAGATTTTTATAACTGAATTCTGAAAGCATATGGTTGTATTCGTTTTTAATCTGAGGGTTTACAGATTATGGCAAGGTCTTGGAAAACTTTAGGTTGCTGTAATTTGGATTTTACCATCTCATTCTTGGCAAAGACATTCTTTTATTTCAATTTCCTTTCCTTTCCTTTTATTTTTTATTTTTTTTAATTTGCATTTGTTATTTCTTTGTGGCCAATGGGTTGCCATTACCTATATGCAGAGAGGGAACCTTTGGATTTCCTCTATTTATTCAAAAATTGATTTCTTCTTTAATATTTTGCATCACTATTTTTCATGTCAATTGGTACATTAACATTGGCTGGAAATACTGATATGAAAATGTTCTAATATTTCAAATTGCTTTCAAGGCACATCTCTTGATGGTCTGTGTTCAGGTTTGTTTCATAAGCTGTGGGAAACTCACAATTAGTTTAGCTGGGAGGTAGTTGTACACATCCCTTTTCTAGCTGATTCACAAATTGCTGGCATGGTGAAGGTGAAATCAGCTTGAGGGGTAGGCATATTCTATACATTGCATCTTAGTGTTCATGGCCATTAGCCTTGGATGGATGGGTTGAAGTCCTTTGTGCAATTAATGTGGCAGGTTTGATGCATCAACTATTTTCATTTGCATCACCAGCAGGTATGTTTCTTTGCTCCTGGTTTTCAGTAAGCAGGATGTTTGTACGGGTCATGACCTGGCTGCCTTATTGGTAATTAGTTAGCTGGCTGCTGTTGTATAACAATGCAAGAACACAAAGATAGTCAGGCATGATATCATTGTCTGTTTGATGCCCAGCAATTTAAAATTGGTTAAGTAGGTCTTCCCAATACTAATATGAAACTAGACGCTATTTCCACGTTCTTTTATGGCACTGGTATTCAATCTCATCTCGTCTATGGAGACAGACTCAAGAAACAAGTGAGATTGCCTTATTTTTGGATGTGTTCGCTGGTATGGTTACCGTGTTGAGCGATCATCACTTTTGAACATAGAAATCTTCTAAATAATGTTTGTATACCTGTTTTTTCTGGTATAGTTATATGCCTATGTTTTCATTATGCCTGGTTTCTTAATTTTCTTGTGGAAGCAATCTCATCGAACTTTGATTTGTTGTTTTATATAATGTTTCAGCATAGTAGATGGTATCTGATTCTTGGTTGTTCTACTTTCTCACCTCTTCAAGGCAGTTAAATATGAGTGTGTATGTGGGATTCTTGATGTGGCTGGGACTTTTAGAGTCAAATTTGAGTAATCGATTTGATAGTGCAGTGCATTCAATTATCTGGAGAACTAATCTGTAGTAATTAACTTGTGTTTTGCTTATATTGTGAAGGGTGAAGAATGCTTTCTGCTGCCGAACTCCTGAATAGTTTCTCTTCTTAAATGGCCTGTAATATCTTTTATAGGTAGGATTTTGTCATGAATAAGATTTTTGTATTAGCTGATGATTCTGTCTTCGCTGTTGAATAGCTCGACCTTCCCTCCCGATTTTTTCCCTCGATCAACGTTGTTCACAACAATGTTAACAGACTTGGATTAACCGTATCCGTTTTGTGGCTGTTGTCGAACACTAGTGTTTGTGTCCCTAAAAAAACACAAGCACGCGCAAACAAGAACACGCCCCCGTTATTATGGTCAATCTTCTGTTTTTTCCTCTTTTATATATATATATATCGGTTTCTTTACAAAATCCTTGAGGGGATTTATTGTGTTGGTTTTCATAACACGGGGACCAAAGATTAGCTGCGTTAAATTTCAGTAATCTAAAAATTTCCAGCCTGTCGAAATTCGTGTTTTTATTAGAGCATCTCTCATAATAAAATATGGCTTTTTAAATAGTGTAAATGTTTTTAATTTTTTATGTGCATTTACCATTTAGAATAACTATTTGTAATTTAATATATTTGATATATAACTATTTTAACAACTTGATATTATTCAATTGACTTGCCAGATCTAAAGTCTTGATATTATTCGAGTCGATTGATTTGCCAGATCTAAAGTCATTTTGGAAGATTTTTAATAACTCAATATAAAAAATAAAATAAAATAATCACTTGAATATAAGAAGAGAATAATTTTATATAAAATACATAGAAAATCTAAGGAAAAAAGGACCAGTGAGAAAAAAAAAGATGATGAATGGTGTATAATGTTTTGTAAGGTTTTGGTATTTTTGCAACATGTGGAGGTATAATATCTTTGTAAAAGAAATGGAAATGGTATTTCGATGTTTTATTTAGTATTTATTTTTGGAACGTATGAAGCAAGCATAGAAAGAGTTAAGTTAATATTATTATTTTTAATTTTTGACTTTCTATTGAGCACATCCGTGCACTTTGACAAGTAACACATGCACTTGCCTGTTCTGAACCGAAACAAGACAAGAATCCTGAACCGAAACAAGAATCCACTAACATTTTACAGGGATATATATATATAACATTGCCAGAAAGTGAGAGAGAGAGACGAGAGGTTGGATGTGTGTACCTAGAGATGGGAAAATGAGCTGAAAGAATCCATTATAAGATGCCAGCATGTGATGATTCTATGTTTTACTTATGGCGTGAGCACCTTGTGAGCCTCTCATAATGGTTTTTCAATCTCAATTTTCCGGGTCCAAAAAATAAGGAACAAAGAATGCCAACATGAATAGATCAAACAGCCATCGAGGCATTGCAGGTTTGGTCTTCGGGAGCAGAGTTCTTATCTTCCCCACCTTGTGATCCGCTCTGCTGCAAAAAAAGAAAAAGAAAAAAAGAAATCAGCAGAGGGAGACATGGTAACGGGGCAAATATGGGCAAAGATTTGACTTGGTCTTGCAAGATACCATCATCATCTGCAGGAGCATAAGCTGAGCGCCTTGAACGCATTTGGTGGTGCGGAGTGGGCTGGAACAGAAAAATAATGAATAACCAGTGATGGGCCGTCTCATTGGGACGAAATTAATTTATTATATTGTCAATTCGCCTGGACTAAAAACCAGGACTGGCAACCTCAATTTTTCAGGATATTTCCAAATTTCAATCTGAGATAGGTCAATGAATATAGCATGGCCCTTTTCATAGAATTTAAATGAGGAAATATCTACGCTACTGATCTACCATGTCGACTGGGGAATATTTTTCAAGGCGTCAACAGAAAGCATGCAATACTTGAAGTTTTGGGCGGAGAGCTTCAGATGGTCCTTCAGGTTCTTGAGCTCCTTGCTGTTGAACAAGTTGAAAAACAGAACAAAGACAACAATAAACTGCAAACTCAACATTAGAGCTATAAAGAATGGCAGCCATCAAACTTGTAGAGAAATAAAAATATTCAAAATTTCAAATGACTACTTACTACCATTCCCAGTGCCCAATCAGCAGAGTAAAAAAAATGCATGTTCAACAGCAGGGCCAGTCAAAAACGCTCGGCTGCTAGGAGACAAGATTAGCCCATTCAGATTGTAAGGGTTGGTAAAGAGTTTCCAGGCCTGCTAAATGATGGAAGAGCAGGACAAAGAAGAAAACCACCCCCCATCGATCGCCATGTCTGGTATTTTTAACAACATCAATTTCATTAACCTACTGAACTGAACCAGACAAATCTTCATCTCATTACATTTTAACATAGAGTCAGCTATACATTTTCTTCCTGTAATTTTTAAACCACAGATATGGTATATAATTTATTTTTTCTTAAAAAAAAACTTGCTGGTGGTATTTTCAAGCTAACTTGTATTTATGTGAAGAGTAAATATATTTTCATGTAAACTGTTTTCAATCTAATATAAGAACGATTCTAATTTGTTAATATCAAGCTTTTCTTTCCAGTCTTGATCTCTACAACCAAATCTTGCAATTCTTCTCTTCAATTACTGGATAGCAGTTATTGGCACCTGTGGTGGGTTGATCGGTGTGGAAGTGAAGGTCTTTCAACATGGCAGAAAAGACGAGAGATAGGGATTTGAAGCGTATGGAGGAATCACTGGAGACTTTGACCAAGGTAGTCTCTGAACTTACTAAGCAACAATTTCAGCTCTTGAAACAACAGAGTTCTTTGAATTCTACATATGATGTTATTGCTAAATGGTATAATCAAGAGTTTTCTGATATCAGGGAATTGATTGAAGGAATTAATTTGCAACATATTGAGACAATGGGTTAGACAATATGGAGTTAATAGACGTGCCCATGAAGATGTTAATGGGGTGGTTATTGTTTTACAATGGCCTGAGCATGTTGAGGCTTTAATGGCTAATTTTAGAAAATTGGTTGCAAGTGATCCTATGGCTGGGCTCATTTATCCAAAACAGAAAGATGTTAGTTCTTTATTTCGCAAATTTGTTTCTGTAGTGAAACGTCTTTCTGCGCCTGAGGAATATGTAATCGATTGATTCTTAGGCAACATGGAGCCTGAGTTACAGATACCAGCTAGAATGTTCAATCCAAAAACCCTTTAACAAGCCTTTCTCTAGCCAAACTTTAAGAACTCACCCCTCACCTTCATTCAGATCCTAAATCATTACCCAAACCAAACCATTTCTCCATGACCAAAACTAATTCCTTCTTTTCAAACAAAACCAATTTGAACATTTCTAGACATTTACCAACCAATAACTTCCAATTTAAACTTCCTAGTCCTGTTGCCAATAACAACCAATACGGATCTACTTCCTTTACCACCACAATTCCAAAAGGGTAATTCGGTTTTCAGAACTAGAAGGGTACCTAGTCCTAGAGAAAAGACACAAAAGGGAGAATGCTGCTATTGTGAGGAAAAATATAACCTGATCATCTTCACCTGTGTAAAGGGAGACATTTGTTCTTGTTAGAAGTTGATAGATTAAAGTATGGTGAATCAGAAGTGGTCTTGTCGACCAGTCAGTAGGACAGCGGGGAAATGAATGTTGGAAGTGGTGATTTGTACAAGATTTCTGTCAATGCCATGTTTGGAGATGGCTCATATAGGACCATGAAGGTTTTGGGAACTGGTGGCTCTGAAAAGTATTTGTGCTAAAATATTTGAGTTATGGATGAAATTTGTGCTTAATGGTGAGAAATCTCAACTGATGGGTTATATTGGTGATCCCGAGAGGGAAGCTAAGGCGAAATTTGTCTTGCATTTTCTATAGTCTTCTTCCTCTGTATTTCTTCTGGATTCTTCCCTCAGAAAAAATTAATTCTCGTAATGTTCGTTGATTTCATGCAAGGTGCTTTCAACTTCAAAAAAGAACGATTCTGATTTGTTGATATCAAGCTTTTATTTTCCGTTTTGATTTCTATAACCAAAGCTTGCAATTCTTCTCTTCAATTACTGGAAACTTTCACTCCCCATCCTTTTCTTTAAAAATAAAAAGAACAGCCATTACAATTTTGGTTGAATTTCTCGGATGGAAGGATTTTATCCCTGCAACAGCTGAAACTTGAAAGAAAGGGAGTGTTGCACGGCTGGACGCTTGGACCTCAAGAGGAGGCAGGAAGAGGGGGAGGCTGCGCTGATTTCTCTGCTCAAGATGGTATAGGGAAACCATTCTGCCGAAGCTGGTACAAAAAAGAATCCTAAGCTCATGTCATCCTGTAACTAATTGGCCACAGTCCTTGTTCACGAGATCAGTGCTGCCCTGTCAGGCTGTCTTTCCCTTGTTCCATTAACGTCACGCCCTCACACTTCTGAGTACCAAGTACTGAAGTTCATGTCTTTCCCTTCTTCGTCCTAACCTTCTCCCATCCATTTCTATCTTACAAAATGGGCATTAGTAACAACATAATTTTCTTAAGAATGAATCACGTATTCATATAACACAAAACCATAAAATGAACTCTTACCATAAAAACAGAGGGGGATTTTAGTGCAAACGTCTGCATCTTTTCCTCCTCTGAACACTCTTAGATATAGCAATAACAATAACAAAAAATAAAAATAAAAATCTACGTAAAATATTGAAACAATTTGTTTGCTAGCCATGATCACTTACGATATACAAGTTCCCATGACCATATGATAACTCTAGACTTGTATGCGTAAATAACACAAATAGAAATGACCTGCGGTGTTGGTTTCTTTTAGGGTTGGTGTAAGAACTATGAATGGTAATTGCTAAACATTTAGGAATTCACTCCTCCAAAACAGCGACCTCCACATCTCGTAGGTAGATATTGCTTTCTTTTCTAAGATCATCACATCACGTGGTACATCAAATGAAAATCACCAACAGTAGGATACTTTAACCTTATCATGTGACCATGGAGCAGATATGTCTATATCTGTGATCTTTAATTATCATCTCTTATCCAGTGACACCAGTCCCCTTGAAAACCATCAATTCAACTCCTTACGTCTCTCGCATCCCGTTGGTTGATAGAAATAATATATGGGTCTGAAGCTTGAGCTCCTCCATGCAATGATTGAATCAAAGAGTCCGATGCCTCAACGCAACACAATCATGTCATCTTAAAAACCAAAGCATTACTCATACTCTTTCTCCAATCAATGCAAGTGACGTGCTTGTGATACGATTTGCACTCGTGTGTGTGTGTGTATAAATATATGGCTCTCTCCTCTGG